GTGCTAAACGGAACGTCAGTTAGCACTGGTAACACAATAGATCACATTAAAGAAAACTGAATTGATGCTCTTGTGGTCTGAGATGTATATCACAGTCTAGGAATCACTTTAGTCTCCATCTGATAAGAATGACTGCTCAGTTCCAAAGAAATGGAAAATTATATGCATGTTTTCCAACTAGCTTGTTCCAAAAACAACATATAGTCTTATTCAATCTGAAATAAGAAAAATACCATGTTTTTGGACATGGTGCCATTGTACTGCCATGTTTTTGAAAGGTATCATGTTAATACCATGTTTTTGGACGTGTACTATGGTGTTACCATGTTTTTCAGGAGATGATGTTCAATGGTAATATCATGTGTTTTGAGACATGTACAATGGTAAAACCATGTTCAGTGGTACCAGAATGTTTTTTGGACACCTACCAAGCACCTTGGAGCACCATTGTATTGAAACCCTCAATTTACCATTGTACCAACACAGTAGGTATTTATAAAGACAAGCTGCAGTGTGTTGTTGTTTTTCAAGGAGAGTTACGAGGCTGATGGCCCATGTTTTTGTGCGAGGGCATAAATTCTGCTCAAGCACACTGGAAGACAAATAAACAATCACCTACTAATGAGAACAGAAAAAAGACAATGGTTATGCTCAACAGGACTGACATCCCTCATTCTGTTTAGAATAATAATGGTTGCTTAGCAGTCTTTTCACTCACGCACACACACACTATGACCGCTCTGCAGTGCCCTGGCCAGCAGACCATAGAGAGTGTTTGAAGAAGAGAGAGAGCGAATACTCGTACCTGTGGAGGAAATGCAGCTGTGGGGCTGGTTGCGTCCTTTTGGGGCCTTCTCTGTGAAGCGGGACCAGAGCCTGGGGCTGGATTTGGTGGCGTGGCTGAGTCAGGGCTGCTCTGGGCTGGGCTGGAGTGGTCGCACTGGGTGCTGGTCCGGGAGAGATCCATTCCTCTGCCATCCTCTCCTGCAGCAACCTGCGCTAGTACTCTATCACACTCCTCTACTGGTCGCCGCTGGTGCTGATCCAGCTCTCTCTGTCAGCCAACGAGAGAGAGAGAGGGGGGTGGAAAACAAGAGGGAGGAAGAGGAGAATTTAAAGGGCTCCTCTCATGAGGAATTAAAATTTCCTTCATCTTTTGGGATATAAGAGTTCTTCCTGAGTCCAAAATGACAAAAACTTCTCATTCTGACATCTACAACCCAAAATAATTTGTCTGTCCTTTCATTGACTATTTGGCCTGTCCAGTCAGGGTGAGGTTATATAAACAGGATAGATATTGATAATGATAAAGATCCGTTTACAGCAATACTAAATGTTCGCTGCGAACAAGATTTATAATCGAATCAGTTCATTCGTATGGAGCTACTTATATTGGGGTGAAACTTTGTTACAGACAGATCAAAGTTTACGATTTCTTCGTACAAACTTAAAATGCAATAACTATGACAAGTGTGAGAACCAATATCAACTTATCAAAATTCAATCGATAAAATTTGAAGTCTTTTTTTTTTCAGTTTAACTTTTGGTTTAGTATATACAGTATATTTTGTGTTGGGTGGCGACAGGTGCTTTTGGTCACATTTGTAACAAAATTCAGCGTATTGGTTGCGTTAAAGCTATATGTTTGCTATTTGCATAGATAATAATTGTGCACAAATAAAAAGGACACAAGAAGTCCAAATAAATTGTATTATTGGCAAAATCAATATACAAAATCATGTATTATATGATAATTAAAGGTTGTATAAGTTCAGATCCAACATTCCCTACACACAAACACACACCCTTTCCTCGAGGCTAACCGCACGTAACTTGGCATTAAGACATTAGGGAACATTTTTAACAAGTGTTTTTACTAAAGACAGACGTAAAGGTTTCTCTCGTTAAATGCTTAATATGACTGAGAGAACATCACACACACAGTGACACAAAATTGCACAATTAGACACAATCACTAATTAACATTTAATCAAACAGTGTCTTCACCTCATGTTCCTCCATGATTTGCTGTAACTCATTTTGGTATTCATAAAGCTGTTTTTCCAAGAGAGTGTTGGATGTTTCCACATCTATCTTCTTTATCTTCAGCTGTGACACCTCCTGCTCCTTTAGGAGACGGAGTTTCTTCTCGGTTTCACACCTACACACACATACGCATACTTAGGTATCTAAACGAAAGGCATACAATGGACTACAATTGGTTTTACATAAAGGTATTCTAAAACAAAAAAACATTTAAAACGTTATTCACAGATGTATTTATGAACCAACTTTCCGCTTGAAAAGGAATGACAAATAAATACTAATAATAATCATAAATATAAAAATAAAAAAAAAAGATGTCTTTCAGGGTCAAAGGTCATCAAAGCACTTTTTTTTTTAAAGTAATGTTAATCTTTTCAAAACAATTAATTTTACAGTATATTTGACTTATATTTCAATTAACATTTTATATTATACATTTATATTTAATTAAATTCAATCATTAAATTGCCATTTCTTACAAACCCCAAAAGAAAACCCCTGCTGAAGAAACACCACCTTAAATATATTCTACATTAAATACAGGTTCAGTTCTACTGATTCCAAAACAAACAAAAAAAGGGATTCTTAATTCAGTTTATAAAAACATACGCTGACAGAAACACACTTACAATAAAAGCATACAAGGCAAACATTGACATAATTTTGTCAACACATTTTTTTTAACTTAAAAATTAGTTGTAATTATTTTCTGTGGTAATCAACTGAGTCTATTTAACCCAATTTCAAATTTAAACATATACTCTCAGTGCACACCCACTGTTATGATAAAAATGCAATAAACCAATCATATTGAACCAACAAGGCGCTGACTTTCTAGGAAAATTATACTTTTATAATCTGAGAACGTTCCACTTTATGTAATAGAGGATTGTGTGTCATATTTGTTCATTTATTTCGCTTAATTCATTATCAAGCATTCACTGGCATTTCCAGGCACTTGCTGTTTCCCACCACAAGAGGGCAATCAGATGTTTAAATCACAATATTTTGTTCTTTTGAAGTGGAATATTCCGTTGGCATGCATGGAATGCAGAATGTATTATGAATACTGTCCACAGTATGCAAATTTTCTGACCTGTCACATTTGGACAAATTACAGAACACAGTGGGTTGAGTAGTGTATGTGTGTGTGTGTATATATATAGTCATTAAGTAAAATAAATAAATAAACATATTTCATATTTCTTGTTTACTGAAAGTTTCTAACCTGGTCTTTAAATGTGCTGCCCTGAGTTTCACTGCATCGGATTGCAACAAAACTTCTGCATTTTCCATTATGATCATCCTAACCTGCCAAGACAAACATAGAAAAGGGAGAATTAGCATAATCAAGATAAAGAACATTATAATTGCCCGTGGGTAGAAATTACTTTCTTGAGCTAATTAATCAAAATTATGAAAGAAAGAAAAAACTTATTGGGAATGTACAAGGCTCGTTGAAGATAAACGGCTGTCAACACCCATCTAATCATGGGAACGAAAAATCATTTCTGAATTCTCAGTGTGAAAGATCAGGGTGTGCATCAACATGCTGTTTTTCTGGCTGTCTATTTTATGCAAATACCACCACTAAAGGAAGTTATGAAGACTTAAATGGTGCCAGGATTTTTCACTTAATGTCTGTTGTGCACATTGCTCAATGCATTGATTGCATCTGAACAGATTAATTGTTTTTCCCCCAGAGCACATAGAATAGCTAGCTATCTGTCACATAAAACAACGCAATTGGGCTTTAAACTGTTATCTGCATTTTTGCAAGTCTTTAAGCAGGCTACTATTACGTTAGGGTCAAAGATCAAGCCAGATGTGAAAGCTGATCCTGAGGAACTAAAAGGATTAACAATCTTTTACAAGGTCAGTGTGGCCACAGGCGCCGGAACGGTTTTAGGAAGTACAGGTGTTAAGCGTCTGGTTAACAGTCCTCTGGAAATCAATTAAAATAAACCTGTTAGTCCCATAGAATTCTATTCACCAACCATGGTCCATTATTACATGCAGCACAGTTTACATACTGTACTGCAAAAATAGTATGTGCAGTATGATAGTATGGGATTTTGAACATATCCTTAGTCTTAAATATATAGTGTGCCATCTAATTATTGTATGCATATTGTACCCAGTATACTGTACTTAGTGCATACTACAAAATAATATTAATGAGTATGCAAAATAGCATGCAAAAAAGTAGTATGCCATAGTTAACAAATCATTCATCTTAAATATAGAATGTTATGTAATTATTATAAGCGGCACTGTAGACAATACTGTATACTTCAAAAATAGTATGGCATTCTGAACACATCTTTAGTCTCAAATATAGCATGCCATCTAATGACTGCATGCATATTGTACCCAGTATACTGTACATAGTGCATATTTCAAAATAGTATGAGTATGCAAAATAGTATGCAAAAATGCCATAAAGAACAAATAATTGATTCCTGAATATAGAATATCATGTTATTATTGCATGCCGTACATACTGTATACTGCAAAAATAGTATGAGCAGTATGGTATTCTGAACATATTATATATATATATATATATATATATATACTATATATAGCATGCATTCAGAATATTGGCATTAATCTACACAGTTAACATACTACATACTGCATAAATGAGTATGAGTAGTACAGTAATATGGTACTATGAACAAATCCTTAGACTCAAATATACAGTATGTCATCAATTGTATGCATACAGAATCTTGACACACTCTACACAGTTAACATACTGCATAAATATTATGAATAGTACACTATTATGGCATTCTGAACACTTAAATATATAGCATGTCATCTAATTACAAACCAACAGCCTAAAACCTGGTCTTTGTCTTTGTTCAAAATAGCATATTAGCATACTATCCATACTATTTCAGCAGAATTTAGTATGCATACTGTGCACAGTATGTGATTTTTATGTGACTATACTCAGATGACCTACTGAATATGTCAAAATGTGCAGTATATAACCAGAACTCCACAGGGTTTGTATATCCCACAATGCATTGCACTGGGCTTTAAATATTACCCATAATTCCTCTAGGTTGTTAACTTGATTAGACATTTTACAAAAACTTGGATTAAAAATGCTAAAAAATCATATTGAATTTATGCTTGAAACATTCATTTTTGCATAACGTACTTTTGCATACTAATTTTTAAACAGAATGCAGTTGCAGTCAGCAGTATGCTAGTATTCTGTTCTAAATGAAGCATTTATCAACAGAACAACCTTCTAAAGGTTGGTGGACGGTTGAGTTTCTCTCAGAGCACAATATTAGCTTATCACATTTTGACTGGCTGGCTGCCATTTTGATGATTCATGAGCCATTGTGACAGCATTATATACAGTTAATCATTGTCATTGTCACTGTAAGTCACTCTCATATATAATGTATTTTAAGGGGATAAAATGAATTAGTAACGTTAATAGTGAATGCTTATGTGTTTGTACAGCTAATGCTAATGCAAACTACTAGTCACAAAGACTCTGACAGGTCATATTGTGCTTTGGTTTTAGGCAATGTTCAGAATGGAATACTAACATGTTGTATACAGCAAGATGTGCTAAAAATAGTATGCAAAGATAAACATGCTAATTTGCATGTTACATTGCTGTCAAATACAATTTTTCATCTCACTATCAATGTACTGCATACTACAAAAAAGGCATGAGTAATGTGGTAATATGCCATTCATATTTTTAGCATCAAACATAAATATTATAACATATTTTTAGTATCAAACATTTTTGCCATCTAATTATCGTATGCATACAGAATATTGGCATACTGTGCACAGTTATCATACTGCATAATGTATAATTATTATGAGTAATACAGAAGTATGCCATTATGTCATCTGATTACTGCATGCATATATAGTAAAATACAGGCATTGTGAACCCAGTATACAGTACACAATGCATACTGCAAAAATAGAATACTTAGTATGCCATTACAAACATATCCTTACTCTTCAATATACTGTCATGTAATTATAACATGCTACACAGTATACATACTGTATACTGCAAAAATAGTATTAGTATGTTAGTATGCCATTCCAAATAAATTCTTAGTGTCGAAAATAGAATGCCATCTAAATATTGACTGAATAACATTCAGTTAACATACTTCATAAATAGAATGAGTAGTAAAGAACAGTATACTCTGCATGCTGCAAAAGAATATTGGAAACCATTCAGAGTAGTATGCAAAAAGAATAGTATGCCATAATGAACATATTCTTAATCTTGAATATTGCAATTGCAATTGTTACATGTTGCACAATATACCTACTGTATAAAACAAAACTAGTATGATAGTATGCCATTCCAATAATATTCTTAGTGTCAAATATAATAATTATTGACTAAACATAATATAAACATATAATAATTATTGACTAAACACAGAATATTGTTTGAGTAGTACAGAGTAGTATACTTTGCATACTGCAAAAGAGTATTCAAAATAGTATGGAACATAATAGTATGCCATAACGAATACATTCTAAATCTTGAATATAGAATGAATATAGACGTATTACATGCAGACTTATTAGTATGCATACTATATTCTAAAAATAGTATGAGCAGTATTGTAGTATGCCATTCCAAATATTCTTAGTATCATATATGGTATGCCATCTAATTATTGACTGAAACAGAAAATCCAAAGTTATCATAATGAATACTGCATAAATAGTATGAGTATTACAGAACAGGATTTGCATAATGCAAAAGAGTATCAAAAATAGTATGCAAAAAGAATAGTATGCCATAACGAACATTCTTAAATATATAATGTCATTCATGCTGCACAATATGCATACTGTATACTAAAAATAGTATGAGCAATATGGTAGTATGCCATTCCAAATATTCTTAGTATCATATGTATAGTATGTATCTAATTATTGAGTCAAACAGAATAGTCACACTGCATACTACATCAACAGTTTAAGTGGTACAGTATGGGATTCTGTGCATACTGCAAAAGAGTATTGAAAACAGTATGCAAAAAGTATAGTATGCCATAATGTACATATTCTCAATCTTGAATATAGAATGTCATGCAATCATTACATGCTGCATAGCATGCATACTTCAAAAGAGTATGTGTAGAATGATAGTATACTATTCCAAACACATTCTTACTGTCAAATACAGTAGTGACATAAATTTAACAAAGATTTAGGGCCCAGCCAACTCCTAGGGGCCATCGGAATTGTTCATTTTTGATGCCTCTTATCTAAGACACCTGATTTAACTCATTATCTGAAGCTCCATATCCTGATTTGGGTGTGTCGAAATACTGAAACAACTAAAATGTGCAGTGGGACCCCCAGGGGCCGAATTGAGAAACACTACAGAAGATGATGCATCTGAGAAAAAAAAGAATATGCATTTAATGTCTTAATTAGGCGCATTACCCCAGAGCCAGTCTGAGGGTTTTTCAGGGTCACATGAAAAGCACCTCAGGATATCAAATGTAACGAGCCAGGCAAGATGCAGATAACAGGGCAGATAATGAGCGCGAACGTCACCGACCCACCTGAGCTCGCAGTTCCTGTGTCAGCGCCTCCTTGTCGCTCCAGTCCCACCACGGAACAACGTTCCTCAATCTCCACTCTGCAATCTGCTCCTCCAGTTCACGATTGGTCCATTCCAACTGATTCACGTGCTCCAGGAACCCCTTCAGCCTTTCATTCAGGCCCCTCAGGGCAAATTTCGGCTCTTCGAGTCCCTCCATGGGGCCAGATGAAACTAAATGAACCAGAGCACGTCCTGCCACACCTAAGACAACCGGGTGTTTACAGAGTAAAGATTTTGCTTGAATACAACCGTCGACGTGGCTCCTACGGACAGGGATGAGGCCTTTCCCCGGCCCTTGGGGTACTGTGGGAGTGGAACAGGAGCGAGGGGCCCACCAGGGTCCTGCCGGCCTCGTGTGGAGGTGAAGAGCAAGAGGCCACAATATGTGTCACGGGTTTTGCTGGTGCTTTTGTGAACGCTGATCCTGGATTTGTGACAATTCACACATACACACACACACACACACACACGGCACAGGTCAAAGTCCATTTATGTTTTACTGTTGTAAAGGTACAGTTTTGCATGCGTCTTTTTGTTTGCCCCAGCTTTTGTGGCTCATATTGCGTGCAGTTTGTTTGCGTTGCCGCAGGGTGTTTGCATATGCGTGTTTGTGTTCACTATTAGATTCTAGCATTTGGATCTTTTACCTAATCATTTTTTCTGTCTAGGTGAACTCATCTTCGGTACAGATCTGCCCTGTCGAGGCAAGTCTCAGACCTGTAGGGCATACTTACAAAATACAAACTGCTTTACACCTCGAGCTTTTCGCTAAAGCAGTGCAGATTAAGAAAAACATTTTGGCATTTATGTTAGAACAGAATTTAGCAGCCTCTGTGCAAAGGGGAATGTTGACTATGCATTATCAGATCTGGGCCAAATGCACTAATCTATGGTTTTATTATTGTAAATTGACATTTATTTATTTATCCAGAGTTAAGTTTTACATTCAGTTTGTATCAATCTATATACATTTTTTAAAATACATGTGTGTAGAATATGTGGTGTGTAGAATACGCATTGTGTGTTTTGCATCTCCAGGTAAAATAAATGAATAAGGTATATGAATAATGCAGTGCTAATTGACATAGGGCCTATCATGTATTACAGTATAGAAACTATAAAATATATTTTCTGCATTATTCTGTGATAAAAATGGAAAAAAGTGTTTGTAGTATATAAACCAATCATAAAATTGACATTAGGAAATGATAGGGAAAAAAATATTATAGAACAAATTATTGGTTATTGTCCAACAGTGTAAGCTATTTGATTTCTTAGCCAATTAAAAATAAGAGATAAGAAAAAAAATTACAGTTGACATTTTTGTCTTCTGAAATGATGGCTATATCCCTGTTTAAATATATAATACATACTTTATATAAAACAGTATAAAATTTATGAGTATACACACTGTATCTCCTATGGTTTTCTACATATACAGTTTTATATTTTGTTATTATAATGTTATATTGTTGTTTTTATTATTATTATAATGCAAATTAAATTTGAATGAAAATGTATCAAATATAAATATAAATGAATAGAAATGTTATGTTCAATTTTTATACATTCAATTGGACAAATTCTATCATTTATAATTCATATTTAATATAAAAAATTATAAAATATATGAATATAAATAAATATTAATATTCTGTATTATATATATATACACATGGGCGACATTAGGGGGGGCAATTGCCATTGCAATTGGAGCGCTTAGCGAAGCGCTACCCTCAACGTGTTTTTGCAACGTTGAGCAATGTAACCAATCACAGACATATCTGTTGATTTCTTAAACGCAATGGCCAATCAGAAACGGTTTGTCAGAATTCACTCACGGCTTTATGTGCAGTTTTGCACGCTCATGAATCATCTCATGACTAATGGTGTGTTCACACCAGACGCAAAGCGAATATGCGCATCGCGTCCCTCGCTCTAGATTACTCGCGGGATGTTTTTCGTGTCACTCGCGCGAATAAAAACAGCGCGATCAACCATGGTGGAGATGACTACAATCGCTGTTTTGTAGCCTACCTGTTGTCAAAAAGTCCCAAATACAATGGAAAGCCAAACGCCGACGCGTCTGGGTTCAGAGCACCATCCAGAGAAGGATGAATAACGTTAGGATCCTGTATTAATGTGTGTGTTACATTTTACTACTGTATATATACACTGATATTACTATTATTTTTATTATTGATAGCAGCATCTCTGTAGCCATGCTAATAAAATACAACTACTACTACAACTGATTTTAATTGTTTTCTATGCTCCAGACCTATATAATAACAGACGGCTGCAATAATGCTCTCTTCTATTGTCTGATTCAACTGGACGTGTCAAGAAACTCTTCGCTGATTGGCACGTCATGCGAATTTTCTGCTCGAGTTGAAATTTTTGAACTTGCGTGGAAGACGCGATTCAGGCGAATATCGTGCGTTCGCGGCAAACGCGTC